GTTGCGGTTGGTGGCAGGCCGTAGCCAGGCGAAGTCAGTGAGGGGACCGGCCGTGCGCGGCTATGTGCGCACGTTAACCCTCGCCCGTATTGGTGTTTTTCCAGCCGCAAACGTATAAGGGGGGGGGGGGTCCGTTGGACCCCCCCTTGCCGTTTCGCTCCTGATCGAGCTAGAGCTTCGCGGAAAAAACGAGCGCGTTGCCCGTGACGAGAGGAAGCCGATGATACCCAATTTTAAGATCCTAGGTCATTGGTTAACCTTGCAGGTCAGGTCAATGACCTAAAAGTCGGGAAAATCGGGACCTGTTAGAACGTCGTAAAGTGTGGCTGCTATGGGGTTTTTCGGGGTGCTGATCACGAATATCATGTTAGTTTTGATCACAGATGATGTCTTCATGCATTTAGGCCAGGTCGGGTCAGGTCAGGTCAGGTCAACCAGTAGGTAAGGGACGGGTATTCGTAGTAGGTGGCAACCGCCTCTGACAGCTTCGTAACATGTTACGAAGGCACCAAAACTACTTCGTAAATGTTAATATGGTTGCTAAATTCGAATTCAGCTCCAAAAACTGGCCTACAAACATGTAAAACTGGAAAAAGTGAATCGAGGTCATCAAAGGTCAATGACCTGACCTGACCTTCAGGTGACCTTGACACCCATCCTAATGTATGGGAGAAACATTAAATCACATGTTTGAACGTTTGAAACCACAAAAGCTTGCAAACGCGCGGCTAATGCGAGCCGACATACGCCGAATCGCGATTCCGGCCAAACATGGTCTCGGAAAAGGCGTCACAGGTCAAAGGTCATTTGGGTCAGGGTCACGAAATTTTCAGGGTAGCTGAATTCGAGTTGGACCCCCCCCTTGCCGTTTCGCCCCTGATCGAGCTAGAGCTTCGCGGAAAAAACGAGCGTGTTGCCCGTGACGAGAGGAAGCCGATGATACCCAATTTTAAGGTCCTAGGTCATTGGTTGACCTTGCAGGTCAGGTCAATGACCCCACAGGCGGGAAAATCGGGACCTGTTAGAACGTCATAAAGTGTGGCTGCTACGGGGTTTTTCGGGGTGCGGATCACGAATATCATGTTAGTTTTGATCACAGATGATGTCTTCATGTATTTAGGCCAGGTCGGGTCAGGTCAGGTCAACCAGTAAGGGTATTCGTAGTAGGTGGCAACCGCCTCTGACAGCTTCGTAACATGTTACGAAGGCACCAAAACTACTTCGTAAATGTTCATACGGTTGCTAAATTCGAATTCAGCTCCAAAAACTGGCCTAGAAACCAAGGGCGGCGCCACCGTGGGGGCAGTGGGGGCAGACTGCCCCCACTGGCAGGAAGCCGTGGAGGCAAGACTATGTTTTTGCCCCCACAAAATTTGGCTGATTATGGGAACAGAAGACCGGTGCAACATTCATTATAGGCGGTTATAATAGTACGCCTGTTTTTGACGGTCCTCGCATCAAGTGCGTCAGCAGAACGTTCGTTCTCGGACCGTCTGTCGCATATCTCCTACTCCCACTCATTCTCCTACTCATTTTCATTCACCAAAAGGCTGCCCTCGAGCTTGATCTCGAGTAGGTTGAGAAGCAGTTTATCAAAAGTCGGCCAGAGAAGAGATCACCCTCTTTTGGGAACCCTTAGACTGAGACTGAGCTCAGAGAGGTATGACAAAATGTGATAGGTATGTATATCCCGGGTTATCTGGAATTGTATGTGGGTCGCCCTAATGGAGCTTGTTCTCGTACCTATATCAATCGTATGTGAGAGAATCGCACATACATATATACGTACTACGGGGAAAAGGAGAAATAGTTAGGTACTGACTATAGTTTTGAAGAACACACCATTTTACATCTCAACGAACAACATAACGTTTTTACAGGTTTGTGTCTCGCAATCTAGCTTTATAGTTTTATTTCGGCCGGGCCCGGGGATAATCCTAACCACCGCAGCCCGGGGGTAGCCTTCCCCCTCCCCCCTGTTTAACTCCGTTAATAAGGCAGCTACGGTAACAAAAATGGTACCAAACAAAAAGTATCTATGAGAAGATTCTAAAGCACCTAAACTTTTTGACCTTAGGTCAGTTTTCAAGGTCAGAATTCAAGGTCAAAGGCAAAAACCGGCATTTTTGTAGTGGTCTGAAAGTGCGTGTTCCAGAGGACGGCATGGTGCATAAAATCGGCTAAAAGGGATGTTGAACAAAAGAAGAGAATCCGTGGATTCAAGGCAAAAACCGGCATTTTTGTAGTGGTCTCAAAGTACATACGTATTCCAGAGGACGGCATGGTACATAAAATCGGCTAAAAGAGATGTTGAACAAAAGAAGAGAATCCGTGGATTCCGATGATGTGCATAACATTCAAATTCAAGGTCACGATCATGCTCAAAATTGACCACAAACTTTGCACTTTTTCTTATATCTTGTATACTAAATTCCGAGATGTTTTGATACCTATGTTGTCAAGCTTAGCGGACCCCTATTTGTGCTTTAGCTTACGATACAAGGCTGCTACAAGGTCAAAGTCACAAGAGAGTATCCTTGCTAGAGGCTATTTCACTATTCAAGTCAGGCATAATAATTAAGATATGTTTTGCCATACTGAGGCTCTAAATGAATGCTTACAGCAAAATGGATGCCAGAGGCCCAGAATCGTGATCAGCGGCTACGAAATCATCACAAATGACCTTCCATGTGTAAAAAATCAACCAAATGTCATTCGAGGTTACATGAGGTCAACATCAAACTTGACCTTTTCCAAACAATATATATGTCATTCGACGCGTCTCGACAAGACTAATGCAAATGTACCACTGCCGTAGCTCCAGGACCATTTTTGTTGAAGTTATTTGCGAAAAAAGAAACTAAAGCCCCAGCTCGGGGTCGTTGCCCTGACCTCTGACCTCAGGTCACCAAAGTTATTTAAGTATTTTTTTTTTCTAGGTCAAATGCTACGCAACCGTGCTCGTAATTTGTCTTTATCTCTAAAACTCAATTTTTGGCAGCTGGTTGAAGTTCACGTCTGTGACGCCGAAGTTTGCCGTGCAGGAGTCTAGAAAAATCGGCCCTGAGACGTTATCAAGGAGGCTAGCTCCAATTTTTTTGCTTCAAAAGATGTCAAATTAATGGGGGATAAGGTACAGCAAGTTTCGTCTTTCTATCCCTAAGCGTTCGTGAGGTATCGCAAATATTCACCAGGGGAGGCGAAAAACGCCCCCCTCCCCTTCCGGGCCCGCGAGGGTTAATGGTTAAACTCAATACGCCTATGCATGAAACCTGAAACCAAAATAATTTTGAATGACAACATCTAGGGAGAAGGTGCTCATGGATTTTGCAGATCGGCGTTATCAGACTACAGTCGGGTCAGTCTCAAGCTTGCCCCCACTGGCGAAAATTCGTGGCGCCGCCACTGCTAGAAACACGTAAAACTCGAAAAAGTGAACCGAGGTCATCAAAGGTCAATGACCTGACCTGACCTTCAGGTGACCTTGACACCCACCCTTATGCATGGGGGCAACATCATATCACATGTTTGAACGCTTGAAACCACGAAAAGACTGCAAACGCGCGGCTAATGCGAGCCGACATACGCCGAATCGCGATTCCAGCCAAACATGGTCTCGAAAAGTAGGTCACAGGTCAAAGGTCATTTGGGTCAGGGTCATGAAATTTTCAGGGTAGGTGTGAAATTGATGAACGCGAGGGTACTGAAAGTTTCGTCGCGATAAATATGCAGGATATTACAACAAAAATTACCCGACGTTTCGTTTATTATAACTTTTTCAAGGGTTTCATTACCCTTGAAAAAGTTATAATAAACGAAACGTCGGGTAATTTTTGTTGTAATATCTTGCATATTTATCTTCGTAACATGTTACGAAGCTGTCAGAGGCGGTTGACACGTACTACGAATACTCGTCACGACCCCTACTGGTTAACCTTAACTGACCTGACCCGACCTGGTCTAAATGCATAAAGACATCATCTGTGATCGAAACTATTACACGACATTCGTGATCAGCACCCCGAAAAAAACCTATACCAGCCACACTTTACGTCTTTCTAACAGGTCCCGATTTTCCCGACTTTTGGGTCATTGACCTGACCTGGAAGAAGGCCAACCAATGACCTAGGACATTAAAATTGGGTATCATCGGCCTCCTCTCGTCACCGGCAACTCGCTCGTCCCTCACTCCTAAGTGTAAGAGGCTAAGAATTTGGTAATAAGGTTGTATTTCCCTCATGTTTCCAAGTTAGTTCGGTTTCGGTATTTCCTCAGGGTTTTAGTTGGTACCTATTTGGTAATTGGTTTTATATCGGTATCCCAATGTAATGTAATTAATGTAAAGTAATGTAATTGACATCACCTCACTAGACTTGACACTTGGCAATACTGACAAAATAGTGGATAGTGAGTAGTGACCCGATGCCCAAATGATTTGCACGGCACCCTACTTAGTACTAACCGGTCCATATCGGTCTACCAAATGTGAGCGCAATCGGCTCAGTCGTTCTCAAGATCTGGAACCGGCCCTTGCACGAACGCATGTGCAATGCCAGTGGCACCATAACTGTGACACGTAGGAAAGCATTGCCTCGTGGGTGCCCGCCTACTTATTTGTGACGTTTTAGCGTAGGTAATCGACAGATGTTCGAAGAAGTCGGCACCTCCATCGATTTCGCTAAAAATCGACCCGGCGGTAGGCTGGTAGCTATTGGTAACCGGTTGAAGTGGCTGCAAGAAACTTTGCGATACATCTCGATATATGAAAAACTTCCCAGATTTTGGCAAAATCCCATTCAAAAGGTGGGTTCAAAATGTAGCATCTCTCTCCAGTAATCGACATCGGTCAAAACATGCCACGTTCCGCGCATATTTCAGGTCCTGTGTAGGCCGTCTTCCTCGCATACTCACACGGTGTCCCGGCCTGTTCACAGAATGTATCCAGGCTCTGAACAGGTGGCAGCTCAGCCGCCGATCGCCTCCGACACCAAACCACATCGGACAGCCTGCTAAAATGTATTTGAACTTCTACCAATGGAAATCGTGTTTGTTACAAGTGGCCGCTGAGGGCCCGAGGCGGCGCGAGGCAGTGTCCGACTGAAAGGCCAACATCAGCCGCCCGACCCGCGCGACCGCGAGACAGTAAAACCAAGACAGAGAGAAGAGAGCGCCCGTCAAACCCTGAAAAACGGCGCCCAGCCAAAACAATCAACAGAAGCATAAAACACAGAGTGGCCGGGCCCGCGGCTGGTGTCCCCCGGCGCCCGGTGGACGGGCGCGGCGCGGACAGAGCTGCCGCCAGGGGTGCAGGCCGGGTACCGCCGGGTGACGACACCGGCCGGGCCGGCCGACGGCGCTGGTACAGCGCAGGCACACACACATACCGACAGCCTGCCCAGGAGGCCAGCTACCACAGCACACTCCAAGGCTATCAGTTAAAACAAAAACTACAAAACTGTACAGAAGGCGGCCGGCGGCGGCGACAAACGGCCCACCGGCGGCCAAAACACAACCGCACGCGCGGCGGCGCGCCGCACTAAAGCATGCACCACAGCCCGTCGAGCGCGTGCCTCCAACGGAACGTATCGAGCGCGAGTGGCGTGGGACGCGCAGCGGCGCCTCACGGTGGCCCGAGCCACTAATGCCGGACGAGGACGAACGGTCTCGGGGGCGGCCGGGCCGGCGACCGGCGCCGGCCGCCCGCCGCTCGAGTAACTGAGATCCTGGGACGGCCGCCTGGGAGCAGCACGCGGCGCCAACAGCGGAGATCCTGAGCGGGCCGGGGCGGGCCGGCGCGGCGGCAGCGAGCTCACAGTGGCGGGGTGGGCGGACTCACACCCTGCTAACAGCGCGCCCCGCGGATAGCCCACCGCCGCCACCGCTCCGGCCCGTAAATGCAGCGAACGGCAAGAGTTCCACAGGAGGCGAGCGCAGGCCCGCACGATATGTTGCACCGCGCAATGTCGTCAAGTCGTCGAATTATCCTACGAGTACACACGATTATATACAGCTGTACATAGCGGCCCTTCGGGCCCCGGTCGGCCCGCACGGCTGTGCAGGGTGGCAGTGATGGGTGAGGGGGACGGCGCCCGTCTGAGGCTCTCCGGCTCTCCGGGAGTACTCGGCCGGCGGCGGACCGGACCGGCGCGCCCCCAGCGCGGCGCGCGGCCGACTACAACGCCAGCCACGGGTGGTGGAGCAGGCTCTCGCGGCTCCTGTCGCCGTAGTCGTACAGGATCTCGTCGCCGGCGGCGATGTCGTGCTTGGCGATCAGCACGAGCCGCGGCCGGCCGTCCACCTCCAGCGAGCGTGTCACGCAGTTGGGGGCGTGCCGGCTGTGGTTGACCAGCCGGCCCAGTCGCGGCGTCTCCGGGGTACCGTCGATGCTGGTGACACGGGCGCCCGCTCAGGTCAACATTGAGAACACATACAGACGACGAACAAACACGGCCTCACCACCAATAACAGCGGACAGATATGGAAACGGCTCACATCAATGCTGGCGAACAGCTGGTGGTAAAAATAGAAAATACAAGCATAACAGTGTCAGCCGATTGCTATGTAGCAAAACTGAGGGCAATGGGTGGAACTATGGATACTGCCGTAGATATCAACCTACAGCCTTCGTAATATGCATCATGTTAACCAAGAAAGTCATTGACGATTTCCGAGCTATCTTTTTGTTCTTCCTGACATATGTGTAGTGGAAGAGCAGCTTACATCTAACGCTCTTAGCATAACTTTGAAAAGTTAAAACCGAGCCAGCAAGGGCGTTATAGAGAAGTGTGTGAAAGAATGCGTCGTTATCAGGTACGATAACAGGCCCTTGATGAAGGTAAACAAGCCAGCTGCTAGCAAGACGCCATTTCCTTTTTTGACATGTGATAAGACGGGTGAAGGAGGCAGAGATAACCATGACAGATTGCAGGCTGCACCAGGCTGAGGTGATCATGTCAGCTCATACGATATGATTTAGCTGACACCTCGAGACTTGGCCAGTAAAACACCGGAGGAGCAGCATTTTTTCAGCATTTGTCATTAATAAAGTGCAGATTTACGTTCTGCACATATACAAAGAGAATAGAAGCAATGGCGAAAATGCGACTCCCTCCAGCACTTATTATTCAAACTGAGACATTTAACAAAAATAATTGTCACCAGGACTCAGGAGTATGATTGAACATCGGTATGCGCTTGGGACGATTTTTCATAGTCTAAAATAACGCAATTGATTCAACAATTTACTATGCAAGTAAGGTTCGCGCCTTTCCAGCTGTCTGCCGAGCACCAGGTGCCCTGTCCCATGGCCAAATCTCAGCAGAAACAGCTATCAACATCAGCTCATTATAGGGGGGCCGGCCGAGCGGGGGGCTGGGCGGCAGGCCGCTGCCGGCCGGGCCGGTCACTCACCACCAGTTGTGGTCCTTGCAGGTGAAGTAGTACATGTAGCAGCCGGTGTTCTGATCCTGCGAGTAGACCCGCTCGCGGCGGCGTGCCTCCTCCAGGTCCACCAGCGTGCCGGCGTACTCCACCACGAACTCGCCGCGCGCGAACGGACGCGTCGCCACCACGCCGCGCCCCTTGGTGGGGAACAGCGCCACCTGGCGGCCGGACAGGGACACGGCGTCAGGGCGCGGACCAGCGCGGCGCAATAGCTGCACTTCACGATATAAAACGAGTAAGGGCATGAGAAGACAATGTCCCAAGGCAGTCAGGCAGGACGCCCTGCCGCGTCCGCCGGCGCCGGGCAGACGCGCCACCCACCTCGAGTCCCTCGTCGCAGCCCTTGGCCAGCCGGCGGCGGATCTCGCAGGAGCGCTCCTCGTCCAGCGCGCGCTTGGTGCGCCGGTTGCTGCGCCGGATCGGGAAGTAGTCGGTGAGCTTGCGGTTGGTGTCGGCGGCGGTTGGCGACGGCGCGGCCCCGGCGGCTGCCGGTCCTCCGGCCCTGCAGGTCAGGATGTTAGGACTAAAGTACGTATCGCTAAAGTACGTAGGACAAAAGTACGTATGCAAATGTTCGTACGCAAATATACGTAGGCGCTAAAGTTCGTATGCCAAAAGTACGTACGCAAATGTTCGTACGCAAAAGTACGTATGCAAAAGTACGTAGTGCATAAAGTACGTATGTCAAAAGTACGTACGCAAATGTTCGTACGCAAAAGTACGTATGAAAAAGTGCGTAGTGCATAAAGTACGTATGCCAAAAGTACGTACGCAAATGCTCGTACGCAAAAGTACGTATGCAAAAGTACGTAGTGTAAAAAGTACGCATGCCAAAAGTACGTACGCAAATGCTCGTACGCAAAAGTTCGTATGCAAAAGTACGTAGTGTATAAAGTACGTATGCCAAAAGTACGTACGCAAATGTTCGTACGCAAAAGTACGTTTGCAAAAGTACGTAGTGTATAAAGTACGTACGCAAATGTTCGTACGCAAAAGTTCGTATGCAAAAGTACGTAGTGTAAAAAATACGTATGCCAAAAGTACGTACGGTTCGTATGCAAAAGTACGTAGTGTATAAGTACGTATGCTAGAAGTAGGGTATAGTAGTGCAAGTTGAGCCAATTTTTCTTTATTGCTGCCCTGTTGCCATACTACAGGGAACTCATGACAAATTCATATAGCAAATAATATAGCTTTGTCCATTTCGCCCATTTACTCATCGAGAAATTTTGCTATGCCTTGTAACAAATGCTCACTAAATAGATAATAAGAAAGGTATTACACATTGATCAACTTACCCCATGGGTGGGGCTCGTACTTTATACCCTACGTACATTTGCTATACGTACTTTTGTCCGTGACGTACTTTGGTCCACACGTAGGGTAGACCGGGGCAAGTCGCCCCGCCGAGGTAAAACGCCTGGCGGCCTCACCGATGTTTCTCGGAACTGACAGGGTTCTGGGGAAAGATCCTCTCTTCTGTTAAACGTGCACTATATGATCATTATATGAGCAGGCTGGAAAGAAATTGTGATAGCTCTCTAGGGAGATATAGCCAAAAATGTGTTTTTGAGTGATTTTTATGTTTGGTCATCTGATTATGCATCATCGCGTTCTTTTGTAGTCCACATCAGGTTACCGACTTTTATGTATTTTGAACAACTATTGTCTAACGCTTATAATGCCGGGTTGGTTCGTGTTAAATTATGTCTTGCTGGAGCGCAAGGCGTTGTTCGCTGACCGAACTACGTGATGGGGTAAAACGCCCCAGTAGGTCGCGGGGCAAAAAGCCCCATGGGGCGTTTTACCCGCATGTGTTATTCGGACTACCCACTTCCTAATGTTCGGTAGCTGGCGAACAGCAAGTTTCTATGCATTTATATGTATTTTTCTCAGCAACTGTATGGCAAAGGAAGTGTATTGTTAACTGATTTGCATTGCAATAATTTATTATTTGGCCTCATGAGGCACGTGAAAAACCTGCTCATACAATAGTGTCATAGCTGAACACCTGATAGGATGGAAGGTGCTAACTTCAGTGCCGTGCCTCCAGCGGTCTAACGGACCTCTCATATAAGATTTAGCCAACTACCATGTTTAATCTTTAAGCTAGACTCTAGAGTATGGGGCATCTTGCCTCAGGCCGTGGGGCGTTTTGCCCTGGGGTTGGGGCAAATGCCCCATTTGCAGTTGCTTCACAAATCACTTCCTAGCTGGGAGTCCGATCATAAGTGAATAAATTAAGAGGGGTGGAATTTAAAGTAAAATGTCCAAAGAACACATTGAGCACAAATTTGGCCTTCCAGGTGACGTAGGACAAAATTTAGGTAGGCCTATGTAGCAAAATAAATTATCTGGGGCGTCTTGCCCAAGGTCTTTACCTTACCTTACCTTACCTTACCTTACCAAGGTTTCTTAAAGGTATCTTGGTCTTTACCTTGCGTCTTTACCTTTATACCCTACGTACATTTGCTATATGTACTTTTGTAATTGACGTACTTTTGTCCATACGTTTACGTACTTTATACCCTACGTACTTCTGCCATACGTACTTTTGTCCGTGACGTACTTTTGTCCATACGTACTTTTTACCCTACGTACATTAGCTATACGTACTTTTGTCCGTGACGTACTTTTGTCCATACGTTTTTTATACCCTACGTACTTCTGCGATACGTACTTTTGTCCCTGACTTACTTTTGTCCATACGTACTTTTTACCTTACGTACATTAGCTATACGTACTTTTGTCCCTGACGTACTTTTGTCCATACGTATTTTATGCTGTACGTACCTCTGCGATACGTACTTTTGTCCCTGACGTACTTTTGTCCATACGTACTTTATACTGTACGTACTTCTGCGATACGTACTTTTGTCCCTGACGTACTTTTGTCCATACGTACTTTATACTGTACGTACTTCTGCGATACGTACTTTAATCCTACGTACTTTTGCTTACGTACTTTTGTCCTACGTACTTTAGCGATACGTACTTTTGTCCGTAACCCGCAGGTCAGACGGGGCGGGCCGGCGTCAGAGAATGGAACACACTGGCGTGGTTCAGTGTTTCATAAACTGCTGGACGGCTTATCATTTATCACTTGCAACAAACATAATAAATAAACGTTTTGTACAACAAATCCTAAATAATATATGCTCGTGGAACCATTGCTAGGTGGTTAGGTGGGCAGGATCACACCACTCAAAATTCAATAACCAGAGCCAGGAACCGAAAAAAATCGGCACCCCGGCCATACCCAACGACCCCGGACTCACAGGCGGGCACTTTTGGCCAGTTTGACGGGCGCCGGCTTGTAGGACAGCTTCGGCTTGTTGAGACTGAAGGCCGGCGAGAGGGGGTGGCGGCGGGCGGCGGGCGCCAGCGGCAGCGACTCGCAGTCCAGCGACTGGATCTTGTGCGGACTGACGGGCGTGCGCGGCGATCCGGCCGCCTCGCGCACAGACTCCTCCGGAGCGCCGGCGGCCGTGGTGGTGGCTGGCGGGTCTGTCAGCGGGGAGACACACACGTCAGACGGACGGGAAAACACTCATCGAACGCGCCGGGGGTGGTCAGATAATACTGAGCGACAATGATAAATGCAATCAGGGGGTAGGTACAACTCCACATCCCTGGTTTCAAGTGAATGATATAACCAGGGATGCGGAGCCGGAGCCGGAGTCGGAGCCGGAGCCGCCGGAGCCGGCATATTTTGCCCGGAGCCGGAGCCGGAGCCGGAGCCGTGAAACAATATAGACCGGAGCCGGAGCCGGAGCCGGAGCCGCCAAAAAAGGGGGCGACTCCGGCTCCTTTTTATTTTTTGAAGAGGAAAAAAAAAATAATTGACCTAGTTCGGTTTGACAGTACAAGGCAGTGGAACATATGGTATGTACTTACGTCATGGGCCATCAAGTGAATGAAAAAAGCCGAATATCCCCAGTATCCCACAGTACGCAATCAACTTCCTGTCTGCTCCTCCCTCCCCCCCCCCACGTCTACTGCATCCCCAGAACATGAGGACCGGTCATCAGGTGACGGCCATTGTTTTCAAGCCAGTGCAGTGGACTGCGACTCCCAGCACCGTCTCTGCCGAGACGGGTGTCAGCTTACGATGGTTCAGTGAACTCCGATTCGCGGCGACTGCGTTTCCAATGCCATCGCTTCCTAGTCCTTTGTTCTGCCAGTTCTCTCCGAGGTGCGTTTGCGCGGGGACGCGGTCATGAGCCGGTCATGGCAAAGAGTAACGCGTATAACCAATCCAATTTTTCTTCCACCCGTATTTAATTGATTGCATAGGGGATGTACTGAGTCGGAGCCGGAGCCTCCGGAGCCGGAGCCGCCGGAGCCGGACCATTTTACTCGGAGCCGGAGCCGGAGCCGGAGCCGCCATAACATTTCACCCGGAGCCGGAGCCGGAGCCGGAGCCGATTTTTTTCTCCGGAGCCGGAGCCGGAGCCGGAGCCGTCTGAAATTTCCACGGCTCCGCATCCCTGGATATAACCTATCCTGCATAAGGTACTGATTGATAACCACGTACCGGACGTCGTCATTCACACAGGGAGATAAGGGACTGTGTCGGAGCGGAGCACCACGTTCCGAGCGTGCGGCGCTCAGGAAAGGAGGGCGACAGGAGACTGCACCCGGGCGGAGAACCACGTACCGGGTGTGCGGCGCTCAGGGAGGGACATGGGTACCACGTACCGGGCGTGCGGCGCTCAGGAAGGGAGGGGAGGGAGGACGATAGGAGACTGCACCTGGGCGGAGTACCACGTACCGGGCGTGCGGTGCTCAGGAAGGGAGGGCGACAGGGGTACCACGTACCGGGCGTGCGGCGCTCAGGGAGGGACTGGGGTACCACGTACCGGGCGTGCGGCGCTCAGGAAGGGAGGGGAGGGAGGGCGACAGGGGTACCACGTACCGGGCGTGCGGCGCTCAGGGAGGGACAGGGGTACCACGTACCGGGCGTGCGGCGCTCGTCGGCCAGGCAGGAGCGGCGTCGGCGGGCCGTCTGTTCGGCCGGCAGACCGGCCAGCGGCGGACACTCGGCGGCCACCAGTACCGGGCCCACCTGGGCGCCGCCCGGCGAAAAGTAGCTGCCGGGACACAGAGACACACGTGACCGACCTAACCTTACCAACCGCGAAGTAGCTGCCGGGACCAGTAGTGGCGGAACACCTTCAATTAGGGGGGGGGGGGCACTGTCGACTTTTGGTCCCATTCTTTCCATGCAACGCACATAGGGCTAATGTTGGAATGCCAAAATCAAAAGGGGCACGGTGCCCCGGTGCCCTCTCCGTTCCGCCGCCTATGGCCGGGACACATAGACAATTAGACAAGTAACTAACCTAGCCCGAACTAGGCAAGAAGTAGCTGCCGGGACACAGAGACACACGTGCGTGATCTTAGCCAGATCTTCAGTTAACACTACACGTGTTGTAAACGCCACAGTCGGTACCACTACCAGCAACGACAGGAAGCCCACTATCCGGCCCGGTGGGGACAGAACTGAGCGATTCTCCTGGGTAAATCACGCGAAACCTGCACCTGACCTGTAGCATTATCATAGTTCGTGGGCATCATTGATTGGCGGGCGAAACGTCGCGCCAAGGTACTTCAGAATCATGCAGATGGCCTTGTTTGCAACATTTAACGATAAGCATGAGCGATAGTGGTCATTTTCACTGCATATCTGATGCTTTCGACATGGGGTGAAGGTCTGAGGGCTGATAAATGCTCAAAGTCTATGGCATTGAACAACAAATTAGGACAAAATACACGTATGTTTCTGAGCACGAATACCAAATGTAACAGCGAAGAAAGTGACACGGAGAACAAATCATTATCAAGATAATTATTGGCCACCTACAATGACCATTGCGCATCGGTTGACTCCGCAGCCCGTCCCGGCGCGCCCTGCCGGCCCTCCAGCGTCACCTGCTGGCGCGTGGCCACTCACTTTGTGATGGTGTTTCCGGCAGCGGCGCGGTGTTTGCGCGTGCGGTGGATGATCTCCGTGGCCTTGGCCGGCGGCACCACGGACCGGCACGGGGAAACCACCAGCTTCCGCGGCCGGCCCTTCCGGCGACCTGGCGACAGTCGGCAGCTCAATACACAACACAGCACAGCACAGTCGTCAGCTTCGCAGAGTCGTCAGCTCCGCAGAGTCGGCAGCAACTCACCACGGCAAACACAACAAATTGGAAGCAATGGACAAGGCGTCCACAGAACCAACTCCCATTATTAGAGCAGCTGCCACCTGTGCCAACATGTCAATTTTGCTGCCCTTCTTACGAGTTCCTAAATACTTACTCAAAGGACAACAGGACCATTTACCAATCCATCTTGTTCTGACATTCAGCAAACAATTAGGTACTACACTATATGTCATCATCAATGAAATCCGAACCAAATGTGTGCCAATAATAAACCCAGAGGCTACAATTTTGTGTGTAAAAGAGCATGAAGATATTACGGACGCTGGATTGCTATCTGAGCTACCCATCAACTCACCCGAGCCCAGGACGATCGGCTGGTTGCACAATTTCATGGCTGCTCCAGCATTCACTGGCATTGTGCCCACTGTCACCAGCTGCTAAAGGCACTCAAATTCCTGAGGGAAAACAATTGTGAATTATATGGGGGAAGACAGAACATGCAACACACACAGAAAATCACATTTTATTTGGCTTGCTTTAACAACAAAGCTTTACCTCATATACATAACTTCATGACCAATCTTTGAGGCATTGGTAACTGCTACTTTGACCAATACTTCAAGTCGGGTATTACATAAACATTAGCCTGATGATAATTACTTTATAATATTGAGGTTTCATGGGACATCAACTGCAGTTTTTGTCTTACTAAATATGGTTACATATTACAAGCTCTGGTTATTAACTTATTACTTCTGGAGCAGGTCAACAACTTCAGTTCTGCAAAACTGTAGGCACTGAGTAAAAACTTCATTGCTTGATTACAAGATAATAATCATAATCTATGCATCAAATTCTGGGGCAGTCAAACCACCCAGAATCCTTGACTAGACTGCAAAGCAAGGCAACAGTGACAAGCCATAGCCATACCAACAAGGTTGACAAGTTGTACCTTTCACATACTGTTTCTGGGACAACTCTAAGCTAGAACAGTCATCCTACCCTGATCACTTTGGCATGCACACCACTCCATATAAAATCCACACTTGCAATATCTTAGTCCATCAAAAAAGTGCATCCACTAGAGAAAGTCAGGAAGTTATCAATATTAATCCTCCTCAAGAAAAGACTCAGCTATAAATAAATAAATAGCTACCTGTAAGTTATCAGGAAATATGCTAAATGCCAATCAATCTCATGCTGGAACTTCAGAATTCTGTAGTATGGACAAGGCCAGTGAGCAGCATTTGAAGCACACCTAAGGCACACCTAATTAGGAAAACCGGGTCAAGCAATCCCAATCAAAATCAGGAAAAATAGTAGCTGCACCTCTGAGGGCCAAATAGCCTCAGGTTGCCATGATAACAGGGCAAACTGGACATGAGCACAGAGCAACCTCCTTATAATCCATTCTACTCCATGTTTCAATTTATTACCTACTTTAGCTAACAACAAAGAAATTTATTGCACCAATGGCAAAATGAATTGCAGTCTTCATCAGTTATCCAAGTTATTACCAGACAAGCCTAATAACAACAAAATTAAGTCCTAAACTGAATTACCAGGGCTGCTTTAGATAAATTAGATTTGATGCTCTGGCCCTCCCAATTATAATCACTAACTCATCATCCAATGGGTGTCAAGTATGGCCTCATGCTGATTAGTCAGCAAAACATCAATAGCTGTTTTTGGTGGCCGATCGGGAGAGGTAACCGTGGGGCATGCCGCTGGGAGCGTCCCTGAATTACCAAAAAAATTAGCAATACAAGTTGCCACAATTTGTGTTGAGGTCTCAAAATACATGCCCTCTACTAGTTACCTTACCTGAACGTCCACTGTTTTTCGCTTAGAATGCTCATAGTCATTGACAATGACACTTGACGGTACTAGCGAGGTGTGACCACTGTATGTGATGTTGAAAGACCAGTCACCCCCTGAGCACACCAAAGCAAGTGTATTCATGATTAACTTACAGAGATTTAGGAAAACATCATAACATTTAGCAGCAAATGGAGAAGCATTGCTTTTCATTCTGATTCCAGTAATGTTTTGTCTAGCCAGGAACTCGAATAGGCAACAGACAGCATTTGACCAAACCAAAACCCACACAAAAGAAACTAAATCGCATATACTCACCGAAAAATGCCTATTTTTATCTAGAGATACGTGGTGGAAGCAGACGTATATGCATGACATGCAGTCCCGATCCGAAAACAATATGCAAAACCTATATCAACATTCAACACAATAACACACACACACAGAGCGCACAAAAATTCAGTGACATATACGAGCAATGGCGCAGTTCCTTCAAAACATGTTTTGAATTTTGATGGACAAAATTTACACAAAAAGTACTCTCAGTACATGCTCAGTACCTAAGAATTATTAATACTTATTTCGGATCACACGTTTTTTGTTTCGAAGATACTTTAATATTGATAAAAATGAATCAAAAGGCAATTTCATTTCCTCTACAGCGTGAGGTTTGAAATTTATATCATAGCTTCTTTTTAACAAGGGGCAAGTACTCTTATTTTCACCATCTCAAGTACCAGAAGTATCTTCTCTATAGCTTCCAATTTCAGGCCTTCCCTGTTCGGTAGGAAATTTCCTTCAAGTGCACCGAAATTTTTTCTGCCTTTTATAGCGCTGAGTAGTAAAGGGCATCAGCTTCAGTGGCAGCGAACACCTTCAATCAAGGGGGGGGGGGGGAACTTTTGACACTGTCGACTTTTGGTCCCATTCTTTCCATGCAACGCCCATAGGGCTAATATTAAAATGCCAAAATCAAAGGGGGGCACGGACACGGTGCCCCCCCCCCCTCGTTCCGCCGCCGGCATGATCAGCTTTGTTGCAGACAAATGACCACGTAACGAATAGGTATGCTATGCTACACGTAATATGTATGCAACGCAACGATGTATGACGTGTGTTTAAACCTTCCAGACGGTGGGGGGGGGGCATTTTTTGTCCCCCCTTTAGTTTTTTCAATATATCTCCAGCACCGCTGCGCCGATCGTCACCAAACATTCAGTACCCTCCCGTGAATAGCTTTTACACATTGTGACTAGACATTTTTCCAAAGGCTATGATAGGTTGGCCGCTTATGACGTCGGAGTGACATCATTTCTGCCCTTTTTGACCCAAAAAAGGTTTTGCGGGAAGAGCTGTCAGGCCGGTCAGGCCTACAGCTTTAGAAATGCAGAAAAATGCTTTTGAGATAAAAAAAAATGTAGAATCAACAGGGCTACAAAACTACTATCTCGGATTTTTGAAATTTTTGGATTTTGCCCCCCAAAAAACTAGTTTTTTTAAATATATAGGCCAAAAAATCCAAAAAGTTTTTAATTTCGAAAAACCGGAATATATGTGAAAGTCTCTACCGCCTTCTATCCACAGACCGAATTTGAGATCGATACCTCTTTTCTTGGCCAAGTTATAGCGAAAAAAGTGTTAAAAATTGATGACGTCAAATTTTCAAACTAATTTTTTTAAAGCAATTCTAGACCACGTAGCGCAAAACAAAGATCACCTTTAGACTCCCCGTGACGAGCTGCATCGAATCGATACCCATTTTATGCAAAAATATCAACTTTGAAATTTGACCTTTTTGACCTGACGTTGACCTGACCTCCACCAGAAAGTGACCTAAACCGTACCTGATGGTCTTATAACCAACACCATTGAGTTTGAAATGAAAAAAATGGCCATAAAACATGCATCGCACAACCCTAGTAAAGTTGGTTCATGTGCTGACCCTTGGTGACCTGACCTGTCACCTAACCTGGTACTATCAGTGACCTCTAATAGCAGCATCAACATATGTGCTAGCCAACTGACGCCCTATCGCTGATTTTGGACAAAATGCGTTTTACTCGATGTTATAGCGCATTCCCTTACCCTAGAAGACCCGTGAACGGTGAAACATTTTATCTTTGACCTGACCTGTGACGTCATTGGTGACCCCAAGGTCAATGAAATTCGGGTTTAGTCGACAAATTTGACAGGGCTATCGAACGCCGTTTGAATTTTACGGATCCGTCCAGTAGTTTCGGAGATATAGAGGATTCTTCATGGCTCCGAGTGGAAGATCAGGATATCTTTTCCAAGCGGGTTACTGAAAAACCGAGCGACGAAGGAGCGAGCAGGCATCGGTAAAATCCTTTTTGAAAGGATTGCATTCCCAATCCACATTCCTAGTGCCGAAGTGGATCGCATTCCTACCCGCAATCCCCTTTTTCACTTGGATTGTGATCAAATCCGCAATCCTTTTTTGCAATTTTTATTATTATGTGCACTAGTGGATCCGGGGGAGGGAGGGGGCATAGGGCCGTGCCGCCATCCCCAAATCACCCATTTCTAGTATCTAGTCTTGCGAGTAATTCCTATCTAAGGCACAGGTATTTTATGGGAAATATTTTTTGCTTCAAACACCCCCACATTTAAACCTCTACCCAACCAGTGTTTTATATTTTAAAACTCGCCCTCAAATACGTAATTTTGCCCTTCCTATGTAGTTCATCAGCGTATATTATTTTGAGCGTTTAAATTAAAAGCGTTTAAATTATTTCAAGTTTCGATGCAAAGCCCTTGATAGCAAAGTACATTAAGCCGATGAAGCCGATCTCATAATTTTCAATCGCAACAAACCATTTCAAAGCACTAATCAAACACAATCCGGATTGGATTGCAAAAATTGGAAGTATGATGCAATCCAATCCGCAATCAAATCCTGTTTTTTGGAATGGATTTCAAATCCAGGTGCAATCCACCAAAAAGGAATGCAATCAGGATTTTGCAATCCTGCAATCACAATCCTACCGATGCCTGGGAGCGAGGTTTTTCTGTAACACGCGAGGAAAAGATATCGGGGAATGCCCCCCCCCCCCCCCACCGCGCGGAAGGCCCACCGCTGCCGGGATAAGCAAACATAGGTGCGCTTGACGTAAAAGTTAGTGAACTGGTTGATGGTGATGGTGATAATTAAAATGCGATATTCTCCCGGATACCGCTAACTGTCTCGTCCGGAGCACAACGGAGAGCGATAAAGTTAGGTGACGGATCGGAACATTACAGAGCCGAAAAATCCAGGTAGGCGGTTTGACGTTTGTTCGTTGTTTGTAATTACTAACGAAACGACGTCCCATCACCAAAGCACTTTTTAACCCGTTTTTCATACCTTTCGTGATGATGTATTTATCAATGCTGACCAGACAGTGCAACATTAAATCCATCTGCAGCAGCAGTGGAACACAGTAGGTGAAGTCAGGCTGTCGCGACAACCGGGACAGGCGGAACTCGTTCTAGCCCCGTATCTCGTCCAATAGTGAAATGAGCCCACCGGCTCCTCGACAAAATAAAAAAGTCGACACATGAACACCAAATGATAAGGTCGGCGCGCACTCATTCGCTTTGCACAAAGCTCATTTCGTCCTTCAGCTTTGCGAGTTCTCTCTCCAGGTTCACACACGCTTGTTCGATTTCATAGTTCTTGCTCACTAAGCCGACCCAAGTTTCTTCAAGTCTTCTCAACTCACCGCCGGCATTCTGTTGCGCCTGTTTCCTTTTCCAGTTCACCTCTTGTATGTTCTTTTTGACATCCTGCAGCTGTTTCTGTGCATCCGACGCCATCTTGACCAGAACCTCATTGTAAATCTTCCAGGCTTCGCAGCCGTGGTCCATCATCAGCTCCAGATTTTCTATTCTGGTGGCCTGGTGCTCGAGCTGAGCCATCGAGTTATCGACACACTCATTCCAGGCACTGATGTCCGTCATCTTTCCAGACGGAGGCGTGGGCAGTTCGTACCGCTTCATGCTGAGCATTTCCATGGGCTGGCGGGCGGCCAGTCGGTCAAACTCAGCACGCATCACCTCAGTCTCATACTGAGATAAATTCAAAGGCGGGAGGTGGTCCAAATAATTCTTAGTCGGGCGATAGCGACGAGTTTCTTCTTCAACCAGGGCCAAAGCAGCCTCCCTCACACCCGCCTCTTCATAACCCTGATCGATGTACGGCAGGGCATCAACGACAACTTCGCCGGCCATTTTCTGTGTGAAAGAAGAGAAACATCTGTTAGCAAAACGGCAACACACAGCACACTGCATTCAAGGTGTCCCGAAATTGATGTGCGGTCGGTGTCGCTTGTTATATTGTCCTTCCCGAGTGTTGAAAGAATGTAATGTAACGCAATGTGGAACAAAAGTTATTTTACCGGCTCCGGCTCCAGGGGCACCTGTCTGGTCACATAATCACGTGACCCCAGTCCCCAGCGGGTGACCTGACCTCGGCCGGTACTGGCCGCGAGAGGCAAACCTTGTCCAGACAGCCAGTTCAGAGAGACCGCATATCACCAATAGTAAGAGAGCACAAGCTATCAATCCGCCACCGTGCGGTGGCGATGGTCAAGAGAGATGACCCATGGCCCAGCTTCAGGCTGCCAAAACACTGAACGTCAGCTTGACAATTAGGCGCTGGTTGGCCGGCAACCGTTTACGAGAGACGCTCGAAAACCGCACATGTCAAGGGTGTAATACCGCGGTGAGTCGAATGGCAAAGCTCGTGATTTTAAGGTCGACCTTAAAAACACATTTGTCAACACGAGCGTTGGCAAGAAAACTGATGCAAAGGCATCACCTAGCATCCAAATTGGCCATCCACCGGTATCTGAAGACTACCCTGACTCCTGAGGCTGAAGCCGCTCAGCCTTAGGCTGCAGCCCTGGTCTACTGTGGTCCAGAAGTGCAGGCAGCTGGATTTCCCCAATGCCCACAATGACTTTACTTACAGGACTGGAGATGCGTCCTTGGCATTGGCAAGGCATCCAGCTCTCATAAGTCCCTAGCTACCCCAACTGGAATGGGACCCTCAATCTGGAATGGGACCAAAAGTATAAAGCTGTGTACAATTGTTGCTGGATGTAGGGTGTGAAACAACTGCCCATGCAAATTTCTTGCCTTAGTAGAATTGAGAGGGGACAATTTGTATGTCCTCAGTGATGACCCTACTGGTGGTAGCTTTTGATATAAAAGCTGACTTTGCAGAGGACAGCTATTGGCTAATGAATGATGAAATGCCATAGCTCTGGCAGCATTTCTTATGACCAGCTTTTAGCCTCCATATGACAATAAACTGGGGAGCTTGCTCTGTAGGAAGTGGAATTTGAAGTAAAAGATCAGTACTTTTTAGGTGCCCAGATTGCAGACAAACCAGCTCAATACACCTGTTTGGGCATAGGAACATTTTTGAAAGTGTGTGTGTGTGTGTGGAGGGGGGGGGGGGCAGGCTCCCATAGGCATTGCCAGCCTTTAGTGCCAAAACCTCACCTACCCCCAAACCCATTTTCTGGTCTGACTTTGGCCACTTTATATTCGCAAACATGCCCAAAGAGGTAAGAAACGAGACAGGAATAATTATCCAACAAACAACTCTCCTAAATACCTACTGGGCATGCTGAGCGTATCTTCTCGTAAACGATTTGCCAATAGAGAAAATCCAAGCGATAGCATTTTCCCCGAGGCAGAACACAATGACAAGCTTATCAGACAATACTTACTAAAAATGGAAGACATGCATCGCAGTCAGCATTTCCTCATTGAATCGTTATCAATCGAATATGAATCGAATAATATTGAATCAAATATGTCATTGTACTCAAATTGTACCAGACATTATACCTTACGTTTAAATATGTAATTTCAATTACTCATATTCCTTATAAGAATAGTTATGCAAGCCTTGGTTATGCATGAAGATATCAAAATAAAAATGATTCCATCAACCACTTACCGCGTCCGACGCAACAAAACACGTGCAAAATTAACCTAAAGCATGGCATTACTAAAGAACTCTCTGCAGAGTGGACAATAACAGCACGTTCATAAAGTTGGCTTCAAATTCGGATTCGGATTCCAGCACCACATTCGTGGAGAAAATGACAAAAACGGACCCCTCAGAATCGATTTAAATTAACAGGATAGATAGACCAGGACATGCTTATTACGAAAATAAATCACCTAGGCTTGGCACCCCCTAAGAACTGAGGAATCTTAGGTCAAAGTTCAAGGTCATTCTCGGCGGACCCTTTGGATTCTCGTAAAAATTGGTACAACTATAGTCCATGAAAAGCTGATTTCAAAAATATCAGTTTCTTACTTTGGCAAGCAGCACGAACTGATATATAGTAGGTCAAAGGTCAGAATCAAGGTCACGTATGTGTAATACAGGAAGTGGAAGTGACCACGTGGCCAGGTGAGAAAGGAGGACCCCTTAGATTTCAATAATTTTTTGTTCAATAATGCAACCAATGTTGGAGATGTTACTGCTGGTTTTTCTTGTTTTGGCAAGGTCAAACTACGGAGAAATGACGGGTCAAAGGTCAAGGTCATTTTTAGCGGACCCTTTCGATTCACATATAAATTTTTATCCCAATACAATTTTTAATGTTGGTTATTATTCTGCGTATTGTTAGGCTTGGCAGGTCTTAAATTATTTTAAAATATTTAAATAATTTAACCTTTAATTCACCTATCCCAACATGGCTACCGTGCGAGCACCTATCAAAACCTTGATGAAAATAACAAACCGAAAATCTGAGAAACGCGATTTGACCTTGGACGTGCCCCGTGCCAGTGCACTGGCCTTAGGGGTGCTGAAGAACTTGATTTGGTAGGTATAGTGTGTTTTGGTGTGGGTTATTGTAATTTTAATGTATTGCACATTGCCTGATTTGCGACACAACTTACAAAATTGAAATAGCAGTCGTAAGTAGTGTCAGTGTCGCAAGTTGACCTTGCCTTGGGGTATACCGAATAGGTCACAGGTCATTCGGGTCATTGCCTCGAAATTTACGTGGTATGTGTAAAATTGTTTGAACTTGAGATCCTGAAAATTTTGTTGCAATCCGTTGATGCTAATGCAAGTTATAGAGCTTGAACTGACAGGTCGTCTATGAGGCCTCCATCCATGCCAGCGAGGCAGCAAGAGTGTTGAAAATGGTCCATAATATGCTATTTCACATTTATTGGGGCATTCAGGAATTGGAAGTAGCCTAACACCATTCCAGCAACTACTGGCGAATCCAGAAAGGCGGTGTTGGACGTTGCAAGGGTCATCCCCCAAAATTCACCCGATTCCAAAAACGTGTCCCAGATGACCCCCATGACCTCCAATGAGCTCTGCGATGACCCCAAGTTGACCTTTTTGACCTGACGTGTCCCAGATGACCTCCGTGACCTCCAGTTTAGCTCTGATAACTCTAAGCTGACCTCTGTGACCTGGCATGTCCCAGATGACCTCCATTTGAGCTCTGTGATGACCCCAACTTGACTTCTGGGACCTCACGTGTCCCATATGACCTCTGTAACCTCTAAGTGATCTCTCTGATGACCCTAAGCTGAACTCTGTGACCTGACATGTCCCAGAAGACCCCCAGTTGAGCTCTGCGATGACCATAAGTTGACCTCTGTGACCTGACGTGCCCCCAAGTTGCCCTTTGTGACCGACGTGTCTCAGCTGCATCAGTGGTCTCCAATTGAGCTCTGTGATGACCCCAAGTTGACATCTGTGACTTGACGTGTCTCATATGACCTCTGTAACCTCTATGTGACCTCTATGATGATCCCAAGTTGACCTCTGTGAGCTGATGTGTCCCAGATGACCCCCATGATCTCCATCAGAGCTCTGTGATGACCCCAAGTTGACCTCTGTGACTTGATGTGTCCCATATGACTTCTGTGACCTCAAGTGACCTCTCTGATGACTCCAAGCTGATCTCTGTGACCTGACATGTCCCAGATGACCTCCAATTGAGGTCTCTGATAACCCCAAGCTGACCTCTGTGATCTGACATGTCCCATATGACCTCTGTGACCTCTAAGTGACCTCCCTCATGACCCCAAGTTGACCTGTGTGACATGACATGTCCCATATGACCTCTGCGACCTCTAAGTGATCTCTCTGATTACCCCAAGCTGACCTCTGTGACCTGACGTGTCCAAGATGACCCCCATGACCTTCAATCGAGCTCTGTGATGACCCAGGTTGACCTCTGTGACTTGACATGTCCCAGATGACCTCCGGACCTCCAATTGGGCTCTTTGATGACCCCAAGCTGACCTCTGTGACCTGACGTGTCCCAGATGACCCTCAATTGAGCTCTGTGATGACCCCAAGTTGACCTCTGTGACTTGACGTGTCCCATATGACCTCTGTGACATCAAGTGACCTCTCTGATGACTCCAAGCTGATCTCTGTGACCTGACATGTCCCAGATGACCTCCAATTGAGCTCTCTGATAACCCCAAGCTGACCTCTATAACCTGACATGTCCCATATGACCTCTGTGACCTTTAAGTGACCTCCCTCATGACCCCAAGTTGACCTGTGTGACCTGACGTGTCCCAGATGACCTCCGTGACCTCCAATTGAGCTCTGATGACTCCAAGCTGATCTCTGTGACCTGATATGTCCCAGATGACCTCCAATTGAGCTCACTGATGACCCCCAAGTTGACCTCTGTGACCTGACGTGTCCCATATGACCTCTGCGACCTCTAAGTGACCTCTCTGATGACCTTAAGCTGACCTCTGTGACCTGACGTGTCCCAGATGACCTCCGTGACCTCCAATTGAGCTCTGATGACTCCAAGCTGACCTCTGTGACCTGATATGTCCCAGATGACCTCCAATTGAGCTCTTTGATGATCCTAAGCTGACCTCTGTGACCTGACGTGTCCCAAATGACCCTCAGTTGAGCTCTGTGATGACCCCAAGTTGACCTCTGTGACTTGACGTGTCCCATATGACCTCTGTGACATCAAGTGACCTCTCTGATGACTCCAAGCTGATCTCTGTGACCTGACATGTCCCAGATGACCTCCAATTGAGCTCTCTGATAACCCCAAGCTGACCTCTATAACCTGACATGTCCCATATGACCTCTGTGACCTTTAAGTGACCTCCCTCATGACCCCAAGTTGACCTGTGTGACCTGACGTGTCCCAGATGACCTCCGTGACCTCCAATTGAGCTCTGATGACTCCAAGCTGATCTCTGTGACCTGATATGTCCCAGATGACCTCCAATTGAGTTCACTGATGACCCCCAAGTTGATCTCTGTGACCTGACGTGTCCCATATGACCTTTGCGACCTCTAAGTGACCTCTCTGATGACCTTAAGCTGACCTCTGTGACCTGACGTGTCCCAGATGACCTCCGTGACCTCCAATTGAGCTCTGATGACTCCAAACTGACCTCTGTGACCTGATATGTCCCAGATGACCTCCAATTGAGCTCTTTAATGATCCTAAGCTGACCTCTGTGACCTGACGTGTCCCAGATGACCCTCAGTTGAGCTCTGTGATGACCCCAAGTTGACCTCTGTGACTTGACGTGTCCCATATGACCTCTGGGACATCAAGTGACCTCTCTGATGACTCCAAGCTGATCTCTGTGACCTGACATGTCCCAGATGACCTCCAATTGAGCTCTCTGATAACCCCAAGCTGACCTCTGTGACCTGACATGTCCCATATTACCTCTGTGACCTATAAGTGACCTCTCTCATGACCCCAAGTTGACCTGTATGACCTGACGTGTCCCAGATGACCTCCGTGACCTCCAATTGAGCTCTGATGACTCCAAGCTGACCTCTGTGACCTGATATGTCCCAGATGACCTCCAATTGAGCTCACTGATGACCCCCAAGTTGACCTCTGTGACCTGACGTGTCCCATATGACCTCTGCGACCTCTAAGTGACCTCTCTGATGACCTTAAGCTGACCTCTGTGACCTGACGTGTCCCAGATGACCTCCGTGACCTCCAATTGAGCTCTGATGACTCCAAGCTGACCTCTGTGACCTGATATGTCCCAGATGACCTCCAATTGAGCTCTTTGATGATCCTAAGCTGACCTCTGTGACCTGACGTGTCCCAAATGACCCTCAGTTGAGCTCTGTGATGACCCCAAGTTGACCTCTGTGACTTGACGTGTCCCATATGACCTCTGTGACATCAAGTGACCTCTCTGATGACTCCAAGCTGATCTCTGTGACCTGACATGTCCCAGATGACCTCCAATTGAGCTCTCTGATAACCCCAAGCTGACCTCTGTGACCTGACATGTCCCATATGACCTCTGTGACCTTAAAGTGACCTCCCTCATGACCCCAAGTTGACCTGTGTGACCTGACGTGTCCCAGATGACCTCCGTGACCTCCAATTGAGCTCTGATGACTCCAAGCTGATCTCTGTGACCTGATATGTCCCAGATGACCTCCAATTGAGTTCACTGATGACCCCCAAGTTGATCTCTTTGACCTGACGTGTCCCATATGACCTCTGCGACCTCTAAGTGACCTCTCTGATGACCTTAAGCTGACCTCTGTGACCTAACGTGTCCCAGATGACCTCCGTGACCTCCAATTGAGCTCTGATGACTCCAAGCTGACCGCTGTGACCTGATATGTCCCAGATGACCTCCAATTGAGCTCTTTGATGATCCTAAGCTGACCTCTGTGACCTGACGTGTCCCAGATGACCCTCAGTTGAGCTCTGTGATGACCCCAAGTTGACCTCTGTGACTTGACGTATCCCATATGACCTCTGTGACATAGAGTGACCTCTCTGATGACTCTCCAAGCTGATCTCTGTGACCTGACATGTCCCAGATGACCTCCAATTGAACTCTCTGATAACCCCAAGCTGACCTCTGTGACCTGACATGTCCCATATTACCTCTGTGACCTATAAGTGACCTCCCTCATGACCCCAAGTTGACCTGTATGACCTAACGTGTCCCAGATGACCTCCTTGACCTCCAATTGAGCTCTGATGACTCCAAGCTGATCTCTGTGACCTGATATGTCCCAGATGACCTCCAATTGAGTTCACTGATGACCCCCAAGTTGATCTCTGTGACCTGCCGTGTCCCATATGACCTCTGCGACCTCTAAGTGACCTCTCTGATGACCTTAAGCTGACCTCTGTGACCTGACGTGTCCCAGATGACCTCCGTGACCTCCAATTGAGCACTGATGACTCCAAGCTGACCTCTGTGACCTGACGTGTCCCATATGACCTCTGTGACCTCAAGTGACCTCTCTGATGACTCCAAGCTGATCTCTGTGACCTGACATGTCCCAGATGACCTCCAATTGAGGTATCTGATAACCCCAAGCTGACCTCTGTGACCTGACATTTCCCATATGACCTCTGTGACCTCTAAGTGACCTCCCTCATGACCCCAAGTTGACCTGTGTGACCTGACGTGTCCCTTATGACCTCTGCGACCTCTAAGTGATCTCTCTGATTACCCCAAGCTGACCTCTGTGACCTGACGTGTCCAAGATGACCCCCAGGACCTTCAATCGAGCTCTGTGATGACCCAAGTTGACCTCTGTGACTTGACATGTCCCAGATGACCTCCGTAACCTCCAATTGGGCTCTTTGATGACCCCAAGCTGACCTCTGTGACCTGACGTGTCCCAGAAGGGCCCCAATTGAGCTCTGCGATGACCATAAGTTGACCTTTGTGACCTGACGTGTCCCAGATGACTTCCGTAACCTCCAATTGAGCTCTTTGATGATCCCAAGCTGACCTCTGTGACCTAACGTGTCCCAGAAGACCCCCAATTGAGCGCTGTGATGACCATAAGTTGACCTCTGTGACCTGACGTGCCCCCCAAGTTGCCCTTTGTGACCGACGTGTCTCAGATGACCCCCATGACCTTCAATCGAGCTCTATGATGACCCCAACTTGACATCTGTGACCTGACGTGTCCCATATGACATCTGTAGCCTCTACGTGACCTCTCTGATGACCCCAAGCTGACCTCTGTGACCTGACGTGTCCCAGATGACCCCCATGACCTTCAATCGAGCTCTGTGATGACCCAAGTTGACCTTTGTGACTTGACGTGTCCCAGATGACTTCCGTAACCTCCAATTGAGCTCTTTGATGATCCCAAGCTGACCTCTGTGACCTGACGTGTCCCAGAAGACCCCCAATTGAGCGCTGTGATGACCAGAAGTTGACCTCTGTGACCTGACGTGCCCCCAAGTTGCCCTTTGTGACCGACGTGTCTCAGATGACCCCCATTACCTTCAATCGAGCTCTATGATGACCCCAACTTGACATCTGTGACCTGACGTGTCCCATATGACCTCTGTAGCCTCTACGTGACCTCTCTGATGACCCCTAAGCTGACCTCTGTGAGCTGACGTGTCCCAGATGACCCCCATGATCTCCAACAGAGCTCTGTGATGACCCCAAGTTGACCTCTGTTACCTGACGTGTCCCTGAAGACCTCCGTGACTTTTATTTGAGCTCTGATGACTCCGAGCTGACCTCTGTGACCTGACATGTCCCAGATGAACTCCAATTGAGCTCTCTGCTAACCCCAAGTTGCCCTTTGTGACCGACGTGTCTCAGATTGCCTCCGTGGTCTCCAATTGAGTTGTGTGATGACCCCAAGTTGACCTGTGTGACTTGGCGTGTCCCATATGACCTCTGTGACCTCTAAGTGACCTCTCTGATGACTCCAAGTTGACCTTTGTGACCTGACGTGTCCCAGATGACCCCCATGTCTCTCTCTCTCTCTCTCTCTCTCTCTCTCTCTCTCTCTCTCTCTCTCTCTCTCTCTCTCTCTCTCTCTCTCTCTCTCTTTCTCTTCACGTGCCGGTGTCGTGGATCCTATAGGCAAATTTTGTACATACCAATGTTGATCCCCAGTCTCTGACCGGACATGTATTTTCCTTCCCGCAGGATGCCGGCGGCGGCGACGACAGTGTGCCGGCGCACATCTCTATGGAGGTGGACACGGCGACCCGTGGGCGACCGCCGCTGCCGCGGTTTGCTACAGGTGGCCATGGCCACTAATCTGTCACGAACTTCTGACAGTGAACGCCAGTCGGTTCTCGGATGTGAGGACGCGCCCGTCGAATAAAGTGACGGAGATGCACCGTGTGACAGTGTGCGTTTTCCGGGCGAGTTCGTTGCGCTGTGTGCCGGTCGTGCGCGGGACTGGTACCACCCGTCGTTCCACCAGTTCTCAGTGCTGCAGCGCGCCGTGCGCGATCTCAGTGCCGCCGCCGAGGAGACCGTGCGCCGCGAGCTGCCGCCCGAGGACCTGCCGGCGCTGACCCGGCTGTCATCTCTAACTGACGGCGCGCTGTCGCTTCGTCCTCCGACCCTGCGCCGGCCGCGCCGGGAGGCCGAGCTGCTGACCCAGCTGCAGCAGCTGGCGGTGGCCCTGGACGGCGCCTGCCCCCTGGTGTTGGATGGCAGCTGCGGGAGCTACGTGACGCCGTCTGCGCTTTTGGCGCCAGGAGAGCTTGACGCTGCTGCGAGCACTACAGGGCTACTAGCGGTACGTCACGTGCTGCTGGTTTTCTAGAGACGGATGTTTGCTGATATTAGGCTGTTAAGACTGAGCCGTGATGCTGTGGCCGGTGGGAGTGCCGGCGCCGGTCGTGGTGCACCCGACGCCCAGCGCTCCGCTTCGCGCTGCTACCACACAGGTAGGGTTCGGCACACCGACTCCCGATGGCTACGTGGACAGTGAAAATATTGCAATGTTATGGTACAGGTAGAGTGACCGTTCCGTTCTTTGTCAGGTCTCTGAATGGAGCTGCGTTCCGGTGGGCGGCTGGCTGCGCTCTCTCGGTCTGGCCCAGTACGCCGACGCGTTCGTCGCCCGCTCTGTGGATGGCGCCCGGCTTCTGGGGCTCACCGAACAGGCTATGGAAGACGAGCCCGACATCGGTGAGAGATTCACATTGCTAGCTGAGAAGGTGGATGTGACTCGAATTATTCAGTTCATAGCCTGATTTATCTACCTTAATCTATTTATATGAATCGTATTGCCACCATTAACCTAACTCCTGACTCGTGATTGTGGTTGCCTCAGTTGTAGGCCTTAAGTGCATCGCATTTTGACAGGTCTCGACGTGGCGACCTCGAAGCCAGCGTGTTGGGTCTCGGCTTCCCGCCACTCACCGGCGGACCTTTCCGCTTCGTGGACCGCATCGGTCCCGCACAGCTAGTCAAGGACATGGAGCGCTTCGCCGTCGTCAGTGGCGTCGGCTTCGAGCCGTGCCTGACCGTGCACTACCAGGCCGCTAGCGGCACCAAGTTCTGTTCGGCCGGGCCTCGTGTAATGCCCACATGTGATGACCGAGTGTATGCGCATGTGAAGCCGCTCCGCGTGTGTGCCAGCGCTGGGCGTGTTCAGTTTCAAAGTAAATATAGAACCCTGGTGATGAAGCTACAGTTTTTGACGAGAAATAGAGTGAGGTCATTTTGAAAGCGATCAGACGGTAGCGCCGCCGTTCTTTGGCACGCCTTAGCATGCATATGTGCTACACTAAAAGTTTAGGCTCGTGTCTTTCAAGGTCAGCAGGGTGAGGGCACCAGGTGCTTCAAGTGGCCTCGTCTCAGGTAGAGTTCTAATACTCGTTCTAATACTACCAAGTACCAACACACGTATCTAGTCAAGGAGCTGAGTTGAAATCGAGGGGATGGGGGGCTGTTCACTGTTCAGCCCCTTCACTGGGGGGTTCACGGTTCAGCCCCTCCCCCATCAGGCGCGAAAATCTTGGAGCCCCAGCGTGGAGTGAGATAACCTTTTCGACGGCATGTGATCGGGTATTGCATCGAATGACACTGGGCGATTGAAAGATGTTTCAGCTCGCTTGTCAAGGCAAACATTTATTCACAACGAAAACAGACAAAGGCACATGTGGATTGCTAATGGATAATGGATAATGGCAGCAGGCAACACCCAGGTCGTGCGCCGTCTGCTGGAGAGCCAGCGGCTGGTGCGTCCTGAGCGGGGTCGCCACAGACGCCGCTCGTCACCCAGACAGCCGGAGACCGGCGGACCGGCCGGGACGCCTAACGACAGACACAACGACCCCTCATGGCGCTATGTAGCGGGCTACCAGTGAGAGGTCACGGAAAGGTCAGCTCATAATGTGCACGGCGTGACATACAGTGTTAATGTCATCCCGCGGTCGCCGGACAGTGAAAAATTGGACAATGACATTTCGCCGTCAAGACGAGCTCTACTGTCTACAAGACACAAGTAGTCTACATACTGTCTGCTACCGAAACTACTGTCGAGCTTCTTACTGTTAGTAAGAAATTACACAGGTCTAGATGCAATTTCAGCGATGAACTTCGGTAGTGCATGGCTGTGCAATTTCAATCACAAGATATTCTTGTTCATACATATCGTATTATCGGCATGGTACTCGCTCGTTATCACGCTTGCGTGGGCATACGGTAGCTCAAGGAAAATATGGATAATCGTAGAAGCCGGTATCAAGGGAATCCAGTGAGCACGAACACGCAGTACACGTCGGTGCTTTCTAGTTTCCTGGACGGTCACGCTTAGTGTAGCTAGCTCGGCCTTAAAAGATCATCACGGACACGGGGCTACGCGGCATTATATACCACCAGCAGACAGGATTTGATCTCTAGCAGACAAGCTTCTATCGGTGCCCCGCGCCGTCTCTCAACAATCGTCCACAGCCGCAGCTCCTGTGCACTGAGACGCTGTCACGACCGCGTCGTATTGCGACTGGAAGCCAGCCCACTGCCCGGTCTCTGCCGCGTCTCCGGCGGTTGGGACCTGTGCCGGGGGCGCCTCCTCCAACAGACTAGTGGCCATGGCCACCTGTAGCAAACCGCGGCAGCGGCGGTCGCCCACGGGTCGCCGTGTCCACCTCCATAGAGATGTGCGCCGGCGCACTGTCGTCGCCGCCGCCGGCATCCTAAGGGAAGGAAAAATACATGTCCGGTCAGAGACTTGGGATCAACACTGGTATGTACAAAATTTGCCTATAGGATCCGCGACACCGGCACGTGAAGAGAAAGAGAGAGAGAGAGAGAGAGAGAGAGAGAGAGAGAGAGAGAGAGAGAGAGAGAGAGAGAGAGAGAGAGAGAGAGAGAGAGAGAGAGAGAGAGAGAGAGAGACATGGGGGTCATCTGGGACACGTCAGGTCACAAAGGTCAACTTGGAGTCATCAGAGAGGTCACTTAGAGGTCACAGAGGTCATATGGGACACGCCAAGTCACACAGGTCAACTTGGGGTCATCACAGAACTATATTGGAGACCACGGAGGCAATCTGAGACACGTCGGTCACAAAGGGCAACTTGGGGGCACGTCAGGTCACAGAGGTCAACTTAGGGTCTTCACAGAGCTCAATTCAGGGTCATCTGGGACACGTCAGGTCACAGAGGTCAACTTGGGGTTAGCAGAGAGCTCAATTGGAGTTCATCTGGGACATGTCAGGTCACAGAGGTCAGCTCGGAGTCATCAGAGCTCAAATAAAGGTCACGGAGGTCTTCAGCGACACGTCAGGTAACAGAGGTCAACTTGGGGTCATCACAGAGCTCTGTTGGAGATCATGGGGGTCATCTGGGACACGTCAGCTCACAGAGGTCAGCTTAGGGGTCATCAGAGAGGTCACGTAGAGGCTACAGAGGTCATATGGGACACGTCAGGTCACAGATGTCAAGTTGGGGTCATCATAGAGCTCGATTGAAGGTCATGGGGGTCATCTGAGACACGTCGGTCACAAAGGGCAACTTGGGGGCACGTCAGGTCACAGAGGTCAACTTGGGGTCATCACAGAGCTCAACTGAGGGTCATTTGGGACACGTCAGGTCACAGAGGTCAGCTTAGGATCATCAAAGAGCTCAATTGGAGGTCATCTGGGACATATCAGGTCACAGAGGTCAGCTTGGAGTCATCAGAGCTCAATTGGAGGTCACGGAGGTCATCTGGGACACGTCAGGTCACAGAGGTCAGTTTAAGGTCATCAGAGAGGTCACTTAGAGGTCGCAGAGGTCATATGGGACACGTCAGGTCACAGAGGTCAACTTGGGGGTCATCAGTGAGCTCAATTGGAGGTCATCTGGGACATATCAGGTCACAGAGGTCAGCTTGGAGTCATCAGAGCTCAATTGGAGGTCACGGAGGTCATCTGGGACACGTCAGGTCACAGAGGTCAGCTTAAGGTCATCAGAGAGGTCACTTAGAGGTCGCAGAGGTCATATGGGACACGTCAGGTCACAGAGGTCAACTTGGGGGTCATCAGTGAGCTCAATTGGAGGTCATCTGGGACATATCAGGTCACAGAGATCAGCTTGGAGTCATCAGAGCTCAATTGGAGGTCACGGAGGTCATCTGGGACACGTTAGGTCATACAGGTCAACTTGGGGTCATGAGGGAGGTCACTTATAGGTCACAGAGGTAATATGGGACATGTCAGGTCTAAGAGGTCAGCTTGGGGTTATCAGAGAGCTCAATTGGAGGTCATCTGGGACATGTCAGGTCACAGAGATCAGCTTGGAGTCATCAGAGAGGTCACTTGATGTCACAGAGGTCATATGGGACACGTCAAGTCACAGAGATCAACTTGGGGTCATCACATAGCTCAACTGAGGGTCATCTGGGACACGTCAGGTCACAGAGGTCAGCTTAGGATCATCAAAGAGCTCAATTGGAGGTCATCTGGGACATATCAGGTCACAGAGGTCAGCTTGGAGTCATCAGAGCTCAATTGGAGGTCACGGAGGTCATCTGGGACACGTCAGGTCACACAGGTCAACTTGGGGTCATGAGGGAGGTCACTTAAAGGTCACAGAGGTCATATAGGACATGTCAGGTCACAGAGGTCAGCTTGGGGTTATCAGAGAGCTCAATTGGAGGTCATCTGGGACATGTCAGGTCACAGAGATCAGCTTGGAGTCATCAGAGAGGTCACTTGATGTCACAGAGGTCATATGGGACACGTCAAGTCACAGAGGTCAACTTGGGGTCATCACAGAGCTCAACTGAGGGTCATTTGGGACACGTCAGGTCACAGAGGTCAGCTTAGGATCATCAAAGAGCTCAATATGAGGTCATCTGGGACATATCAGGTCACAGAGGTCAGCTTGGAGTCATCAGAGCTCAATTGGAGGTCACGGAGGTCATCTGGGACACGTCAGGTCACAGAGGTCAGCTTAAGGTCATCAGAGAGGTCACTTAGAGGTCGCAGAGGTCATATGGGACACGTCAGATCACAGAGGTCAACTTGGGGGTCATCAGTGAGCTCAATTGGAGGTCATCTGGGACATATCAGGTCACAGAGGTCAGCTTGGAGTCATCAGAGCTCAATTGGAGGTCACGGAGGTCATCTGGGACACGTCAGGTCACAGAGGTCAGCTTAAGGTCATCAGAGAGGTCACTTAGAGGTCGCAGAGGTCATATGGGACACGTCAGGTCACAGAGGTCAACTTGGGGGTCATCAGTGAGCTCAATTGGAGGTCATCTGGGACATATCAGGTCACAGAGATCAGCTTGGAGTCATCAGAGCTCAATTGGAGGTCACGGAGGTCATGTGGGACACGTTAGGTCATACAGGTCAACTTGGGGTCATGAGGGAGGTCACTTATAGGTCACAGAGGTAATATGGGACATGTCAGGTCTAAGAGGTCAGCTTGGGGTTATCAGAGAGCTCAATTGGAGGTCATCTGGGACATGTCAGGTCACAGAGATCAGCTTGGAGTCATCAGAGAGGTCACTTGATGTCACAGAGGTCATATGGGACACGTCAAGTCACAGAGATCAACTTGGGGTCATCACATAGCTCAACTGAGGGTCATCTGGGACACGTCAGGTCACAGAGGTCAGCTTAGGATCATCAAAGAGCTCAATTGGAGGTCATCTGGGACATATCAGGTCACAGACATGGGCGGCGCCACCGGGGGGGACGGGGGGACAGGTCCCCCGCTATCGAAAGTTAGGGGGGTACAGTACCCCCCTATCGGCGAGGCCCGTTCAATAGTTGATAATAATGCATTATAGAGCTATCCGTCGCATTTAATGCATCGTTGGTTAATCAAGGCAGGTTCTGAATAAAGATTGCTGTTGGGATGCATCGCAGGGGGTCCTGGCCATCTGCAAAAGGTGTGGAGCTGTGATGCCTGTAGTTATAAGGTGATCGGCAGGGCCTCGGGGATCGTGCCCCCTTTTTGGGGCGCCAGGCAGGGTTATTACTTATTACCTCCCCACCCCACTGCCAGACCCCATTGCCGATAAAACCAAGTTCACTGAAATTCCATAGATTTCCGTTACTATATGAAAATTTTCCATTCCTAATTAGTCAAATTCAAGCATGGCAGTTCTACCACAGGAACCATTTGAAATCTAGGTATGCCATTTAACCCCAGCACTTGTGGGGAGAAGTGTTCGGATAGATCACAGGCAGGACCAAAAAAGCACGCAGTAGCCCAAGACCTTATAATTGGATATAGCATCGGCTCCCTCTCGTCAAGGGGTTCGATAGCACTCGTTTTTTTTTCTGCAAAACTAAGTTCGGTCGGCGGCCGAACGGCTGGGGGTCTAATCGAGCCCCCCATCCCTCCCCTTCTTACGTCAGCGGCTGTGAAAATGCCATTACCAGCTGTTGAAACATGGCAGTTGCTTTTGCACGAGTGCACGAAAGGGTTTTAGGTCCGTGATACGTGCAAGGTTCTACATGAAAATTGAGATACACCAGCTTATCAAATTGTGCTCACTGATGGTGCGCTCGGTTTTACCTTGACTAGTCTTTGAATTCTGGGGCGAAACAGACCAGTCAAGAAACCTGTTCCATAAGGAGAGCCACTAATGCTAAAGAGATGTGGGATGAGGTTTCCAGAGACCTTCATTACCTCCCAAAGGGGGTGCCCCGCCATTTGCCAATCCCTGCTGTAGTTGTTACGATTGGAGGGTGAATATGAGAACGATGCAGGTCGTGCCAGCTCGATCATGACGAACACAATGGTGCCGACATCACAGCTCTACTGCCATTTTTGACGAAGTTAATCAACAAGCACCGGAATCCTACCCTGGGGCATTTCACCTGCAGATGTCACCGGACCTGAGACCCTTTCACTCAATTTTTTTCAACGGTGCATCGCTCGTTTTTCCCGCGAAGCTCTTGGCAAGTAAAATCATCAGAAAGTGTGATCAAATAACGGCTGGTGACCTTCCATGACCTAGCGTGACCTTTTGAATGACCACCGATGACATGACCACTGACGGCTAGCCATTAGCTGCACCCTGCCCGTTGCATATGGATCAGGTGGTGATGTCATGATTCTGAAATTATATTGCAGTTTTGGCGCACTTATCAGAGCAGAAGACATTCCCACTTTTCCTCCATGACTATATGATGGTGAAGCCCTGAAGCTGACCAGACGTAAGATCGAAAATTTGAAAGTACGAAACGTGAGAATAGCTGTCACTGCTACTCATACCTAAGCAATTCGCAGCTTGTAGGAAACCAGCTTTGAGTTGGCAAGACTGCAAATTTTGATTTAGAGGCAAGGATGCTTGAAAAGGTGATCGATCTTAGGTGTCCTAGGATAAGTTTGGAAACGGGATGCACCATTCGATGTGTTTTGGGCCTTGCCAAGTTTCGCGGCGTTACGTGCCTCGTTTTTTTTTGCATACACGATCAGTATCTACTTTTGGGATTTTCGATTTTCGGTCCCCGTCCCCCCCTATCGAAAACCCGTGGCGCCGCCCCTGGTCACAGAGGTCAGCTTGGAGTCATCAGAGCTCAATTGGAGGTCACGGAGGTCATCTGGGACACGTCAGGTCACACAGGTCAACTTGGGGTCATGAGGGAGGTCACTTAAAGGTCACAGAGGTCATATAGGACATGTCAGGTCACAGAGGTCAGCTTGGGGTTATCAGAGAGCTCAATTGGAGGTCATCTGGGACATGTCAGGTC